CATCCGCTCATTCAAATAGGGGAACACATTCACATAGGTTGGATAATTAAAAGGTGATTGTTTTCAAGTGGGGACCATTTGAATAAGTGGATGGGAATGAGCCATCTCACTACCAAGAACAAAGTTTGTGCTTCGTACGAAGTTCATCCATTTTTCTCTTATATATAATAATAATAATTATTATAATTTATTAAAAATATAAAGTAGGCCAAGCAAAAGACTAAAAATAATACAACAAGCTATTCAAATCAAAGTTGTTATACACTTAAAAGTAGAACTACTAAAAAATCATAAACTACAAACACTTCTATAACTCAGCACTTTAAAATACTAATAAACGCCTCACTAGTCTTCGTTATCATCTTGGTACTGAATACTCATCCATTTCTTCCTCAAAAAGAGCTTTAAAATCATCATTATTACTCTCCTCATGTAAATCATCTCCAATAGGCCCTTCCTCAATCCCCTTACCTATCGCTGCACTAGAAGAGCTGTCATATTCTATCCTTGCCCTTGTATCATGCCTACTTAGTGTTACTTTGCTCCTCCTATGTGGGTCTATATTTGCTCCACTAGTGGCGGTGGAGAGGAGGCTGTGTGTGGGTGACTAAACTTAGGGTTTTGAAGCAACATATTGTTTTGGGATCTTTTGAGGCGGCGATGGGGAGAATTAATTAAGTGTGGGTCTTGTCAGGTATATTATGCTCCCACATAATTCCATTATACGGGTGCATACTCTTTAACTGCTTGATTATGTTGTTTGACCGCATAATCGAGCGGGTAACAGCCACCCAATAGGTTTGGGTATCAGGTAGGAGTACTCAGGCGAGTACTCGGGCGGGTAGAGTGTATTTTTGTACATCGATGCATGCCGTTGCATCTGCAGTGAAATGCATATCTAGAAGAACAGTCATATGCGCATGCTAGGTTACTAGGTAATCATGCGAACAAATTAGCGGCCAGCACATAAAAATATGTGATTGCATAATTATTGTGCACTCACATATGCGGTCAAATAATTATTGTGCACTTGTGTTTTTGGTCACATAATTTTTGTCCACTTGCATATGCAGTCAGATAAAATTCTGCCCTTGTATATGCAGTCACATAATCACTATATGGCCACATATGCATATTCAGGTGTTGTCGAGTATGAGTTTCAACTGAATATCCAGCCAATTTAACTTAAGTAGTGATATGTATTCTCTCTTTTTCACATTCTACTTTCATGATCTTCTATTTCAGCGTTTTTTTTCTTGATATGCAACCTGTTTAATTTAAATTGTGCCTTCTGCATTTTGAGACTATTTGTTCCATGTTATGTGTATCCAATATGATATTTATCAATGTCTTGGACTTATATTGGTTTTAGGCAGTTGGGTAACATTTTATAAATATTTGCGTAATCAGTTTGGGTATTAGTCTCTAATTCTGTAGTTTTTTGTGCATAATTTAGTAATTAAGTGTGATCAAATTTATGGTTGCTAATGGATGATCTGTGCATATGGTCATGCCATCTTGCTTAGTAGGAAGAAAGAGAAATAGGAATAGGACACAGACAACAGACCTGATACTTCCTATTCCTGCTAAAAAGGAGAGAGAGAAGATAACAGGAGATAGAGGTGCTTGATTTAAGTCCTGGCTTATAAATGGGTTGGTCCATGGTTGCTAGAATGAAACAGGCTAGGTGCCTGAACCTGCTTACATGTCCTTTGGGTTTCATCCTATCAGGTTATTTACCCCAGTGCCTATGTGACCTTAGCTTGTCTTTTCATATACCATTTTTAATTGTAGTTCAACAGGGTAAGGGTGATGAGGTGTCAGTTCGTATGCAATTAATTTCTAGTGACAGTAGAACATTTATGTGACCATGAGGGTCTCCGATGGTGTTTTGGCGCATGTTTTTTTGGGGTGGGGGGGGGGCAGTGCCATATCAGTGATAACCTCTTCAATGACAGGCGAGATGACGATGATGGCAGAGTGACGACATTGAGATGATGATAAGAAGATGAGACAACTGGCTTAAGGGCTTCAACTATGATGATTCGAAAAGACAACAGTGATGTCGAAGAAGAAGAAGAGGGAACCGGCAGCTAGTTTGTTCTTTTTCTTCTTTTATTTTTCGCGGCTGTTAGGGTTCGCTGAGTTTTTGGGAGCGGCAACTAGGATTTGGGGAAAGAAGATGTTTAGTGTTTCAGGAAAAAAATCACCTAAGTTTAGAGTTTCTTGAGACACTGCATTTATCATTTTATCACAAAAAATGACTTAATTCTAGAGATTGAAGTCAAGTTTTATTTAATGGAAAGTAGATAGACGATACACTACATAATCTTTCAATATGAGAGTAAATACCTTTTCAGTAACTTTCCTTGTATAGCAACTATTCTAGTAGATCTTATCAACTGCCTCTTGGTTGTGCAGTTTAACTCAATGCCTTTTATTTTATGTAGCTGGTTAACTATTATGCGTTGCGCACCATACTATTCCAGGATGGTCTATATTTCTTCTAACAAAAATGATTTTTTTAATAATGTTTTTGTAATTTTTTCACTTGCTCAGTGGAAGTACACTTGCGCTTCATTGGTTTTACTGTAGGCCAAGAAGTAGAATAAGTTGCCTCCTGAAAGTGGATATGATGATGTTTTTCTTTCCCATCCCGTGTTTTCTAATGTTTATTTCTAGGAATAATCTAATCTTGGTCCTCTATGCTAATTCTAAATAAATATTTTCATGTTTATGGGTAATTGAATTCTGTTATCAGTGGATTCAACTGCTACTTCTGTGAACTGTCCATGTTTAGTCACTCTATTTATTATGGTGCTTGGATTGGTGTGACAGCTTTGTTGCTTCTGCACGTCAATTAGCTAAAGCTTTGGAGGTGCCTCTGGTAAACGACTTAGGATACACGAAAAGATATGTTCGTTGCCTTCAGGTACACTGTTCAGTTACCCTTGTCATGTCATGAATGTGTCCATGAATGCAGACATAAACATTAAAATTGAGAAATTAATATGACAACTAATATAAACTAGTTTGAGAACGACGAAATAATTGAAAGACATTCAAAATACAGTGTATATCTCCCCCACCCAAAGTTTCTAATGCACTAAAATCAATATTCTGTTAAATGAATCATTAGAATATGTCCCAGTTACTTAATTTAGAATAACATTTAAATTATAGATTTTGTGTTGCTTTGATCGATGGCACAGTCATCAAGTATCCAAGTATCTTAAAGAGTCCATGATTAGGACCTTCTTGAAGCATGTCATTAGGGTATGTCTAACTGCATAACCAAATGTTGATTCCACTTTCAGTGTATATATTTATATGCAGGGGTTTTTAGCATGTATATATATATATTTTTTTTTACAAAAGAATTTTGTAGAGGAACCAGCCCCTAACTTAGGCTCTATTTCTACCACCCTAAATTGCCCGAGTTCCAAAAAACCAACCCTATCTACCATTCTGTTAGATTGTGTTTGGTTTGAACGAAAATGAAGGAAAAGAAAAGCAAATGAAGGGAGAAGTATATTTCCCTTGTTTGGGTAGGAAGAAAGTTAAAATGAAAATGAAACTGAGGGAATCTGGAGTAAAAAAGCTACTTTCTTTTTTCTCACCTGAACCCAGTGAAAGTGAAAATAATGTCGGGCCACCGCTCGACCCCGGCCTTCACTTTCTTTGGTCTCCGACTCGCCACTGACCTCTTCAGCATCAAATGGAGCCAACCATCTACCTTAGTTTACTGGGGGGCCCACCAGCAACAACAAAAAATCTGAACGACTCACATTGGGCTTTGAGTGGGCCCTACTAGGTTAATAGTAAAATGGGTTTGAAGGCAGATATTTCGTTCATGAGGGCTCACCTATAGAATAGAAAAAGGTGGTTTATTTAATACTATACTACAAAATAATAATAATAATAATAATCTTGAGAGCCCTCTCTATATAAATTATATATGAAGAAAAAAAGATAATTTTAAACATATAAATATATTTTTAAAAGTTGGCAATTTCACACGTTAATTGTATTTTCTACCTCTATTTGATTGGACTGCTATTACTTTTCTTTCAACTTTCTTTAGCAGTTTTCTTCCTAACCAAACAACAAAAAGATATTATTTTCTTTTCCTTTTCCTTTCCGTTCTTCGCTCTTTCCTTTTCTTTTTCTTTTCTCTTCCTTTCCCACAAACCAGACAAAGCCTTAGTGTACAACCACCCATGACCCATGTACTTTTTCATCCAATTTCTCCGTCAATACGAATGAAATATTTACTATACCCTTGAGCTAAACGCGTTTGGTGTAAGAGCATATGGTTTTTTCATTTTATAGTTTTGGGGCCATTCATATGAAGGCTTACTTAAAAGATTACAGTAAAATTCTTGCTTTCTTTGCCATAGTAATGTACGAGGCCTTAAGTTTTATGAGCAATCAGCATAATATCCATGCCTTAAATGAATTTTGTTCTCCAAAGATTTAATAAATAAGTTAGGAACCTGTGTGTTGTTGACAGAAAATACAAGGAAGGAGAATTTTGTATATGAACATGACGCAAGGATTACATAAATTTGCAAACATTTATGGTGATATATGCTAAGAATCCATATATTTATTTAATTCGAAGTTCAAACAAAAATTTAAGGGTTCTGATAATATGAAACATAAGATTCAGAGGACAGGGAGACGGTAAGTAGTTAGCTCTTCTGCCTTAGGTTTTATTTATAGAGCTGAACTTGTACTTTCACATGGAGGATCCTAGTGCAAACATATATTACTTATAAACCATCATTTAAGAATTTCAGAATTTGTTTGCTGGTCCAATCACTCACCACAACTTTTTTGTTTTTATTTATTTGAGTATCCTTTGAATCGGAATGTTTTGCTTCTCTTTGTAACCAAATGCACCCTAAGATCAGGAAATTCAGAAAAAGTGAACAAAAGGAAGAGGAAAGGAGATGTACTGCTTAGACTTGTTGAATGCATCCATCACATGTAAAAATGTAACATGAGTGAAATTCTTAGAAGCCCCTATTTCTAAATTGTCATCACATTTAATCTGACCAAATGTTTTAGCATCAGAATACTGGATTTATGATATCACTGCTAACTTGTAGGTCCACGACTAGTAAGCATACGTGTCTGGTTAATGTACAGTGTGGCAAGCTTCTCTAGTAATATCATATTGATCTATTACAAAAAATTAAGAGTAGATTTGGATGATTACAATATTTAAATGGTGATATCTGCATCCTTAATTTCCTTTCATATCTCAATTTTCCTCTTCCGTCTTTTTGTATAGTTATATAAAATATTTATATATATGAACCTCTTTTATCTTGACAAGCATAAAAGTTCTAGAAACACCAAGGATCAGATCAAGGTATTTGATTTCACAAACAATAAACACCTACTAGTCTGGTAGTAGGACTGCTCTATAGTTTGGTAGAGCTGATGTTTGTTACCTTTAGGCCTCTAGTTGTCTTTTGATCCTTTCAATTGTTAAAGCTTGAACTAGAATGTGGCAGGATCATCAGTCGTAAGTTTAAACTGGTGCTACAGCTACCTCGTGATCAGGCACTTGGAAGTTCCTGTGGAAGATTATTTTCTTCACATCTACATCATGCATCTAAAAATCAAGTGTCCTTGTTCTCTTTACCTATTTATTTGTCCTTCATTTCATACTGAAATTCTATATTTTCCAAGATTTCCTGGCAAGGGGGTGAATATTGTTTGAAATCTGCAGATATCGGAGGTGGTGAATAGCATGAAAGATCTGATCGATTATAGCAGAGAAACAGGGACGGGTCCTATGGGTAAAATTTTTATTTTTATTTTTTATGTTGTTTGATATGTAACTAAAAAAATCGTATCTCACTGCTTTGTCTGGTCCTTTAATTTATCTTGATTCAGGTTAACTAATTTTAAAGGGTAATTATTATGAAAGCCCCTTCGAGTTTGACAGATAATTATGGAAACCCCCTAACGTTTTTTTCTCATGACAATAACCCCTACTGTTAAATAAACTGTTAAAACCCATTCAATTTCAATCTTTTTCTCTAAAATCCCCCCAATAGTGTTGTTCTTCTTCCTCAAAATATTACAATACCTATTTTTCCTCTCTTCATATCAAACCCCTAGTACCCACGACCATTGCAAAGAGGAAACCAATAGAAGATTAAGATGATCTCTTCAAATCCTTTGATTTTAGCCTCTATTGAGAATTACTCTCAGTTTCTAGTGTATGTTTGTCTTTGAGAGAGAGGAAAATATGTTGCGAGGAGAAAGAAAAAGGGGGTGCTTTTAGAATATCAATGGGTTTGAACAGTTTTTCTAACTGCAGGGTGTTCTGTAATGAAAAGATAACATTAGGGGGTTTCATAATGAGTGACCAAACTTCAGGGAGTTTCATAATAATTACCCAATTTTAAAGTATTTCATTTTTCTAGTATTAAGATAAAGGGTAATCTATAGGAAGGCTCCATCTATATCCTAGTTTTCAAGAAGGCCCCTCATCTTAAATGTTCAGCAAAAAACTTGCTCATCTATGATCATTAATGAAATTGATGTGTTACGATGCCCCCCCCAGGGACTTTTAAGCTAGTGTTTCCATACCTATACATCATAAATTCATAATAGGCTTGCCTTTAGGCCTCATTTATAAAGTTGGAATTCCCTAACTTTTGAAAAACTAATTTATCAGTTCATCTATTAAGCTAGGTTTGCCCGAGCAAATGACTACTTTACCCACACTAGTGGCAAAATTCCTACATTTACCTCTAGCTGTTCGCTTTTTTTTTAATAATTTTTTAAGTTTTTTATGACTACATGGCATATCAGCTACATGTTGCCAAACATGTATTGATTTATCAGCTCAGATTTACCAAACATTACCAAGCAGGTAACTGAATTTTTATCATAAAAGCCAAACGCCACAAAAAACTAACATAGCTTAAAAAGCTTCAGAAAATAAAAACCAAGCATCCTCATTGTTAGTTAATTTTACAATGGAGTTTCTTCTCCAGATGTTTGGAGAGAAGTTTGCGTGCAGAATTTTAGGTTAATAATTAAAAGCTTAGTTTTTTCATTTATCCACTATCTTTCCCGTCAGTTTTCATCTTTTCAATGCTCAAAACATGTGAAGTTCAAAGTGTACGTCTTTCCAGATTTCTACTCAAGTACAAACGTCTGTCTGCTCAAGTACAAACGTCCATATATATGTTTGAACTTTCGCATTACAAATAGCAGTTTTATAAATGGTCATAGACTAGGGGGTTTCTTTAAAAACAGTGCAGATGAAGGAGGTTTCTTGTAATTTACAAATTACAACATTACTTTAACAATCTTTATCATGCATTTTTCTTCTCTGACACAGATAGCCTGATCAACTTTCCACGAAGGAATTCTAGTTCAGGACTCCATCCTCAACAACAAGCCCAACAACCCGAGGGACAACATCAAACAACTGCACAGAACTCCATTAATGGCCCATCCTCTGCCTCACCATCGACCTCAACTGTCGCTCGCCTTCTCCACCATCAAAACTCTATGAATTCCCGTCAGGAGACCCAATTGGGCAACACAAATTCTCCTTATGGTGCTAACAACACTTCACAAGTACTGTCAACAAGCTCCTCTGGTTCACTACCACAGTCCCAACCTAATAATAATCCATCTTCTCCTTTCTCTCCACCAGCACCACCCGCCTCAAACAACGCTACAACCCACATAAACTCCGTCACTTCCCCTGCAATGCAACAGCAGCAGCAGCCAGCACAGCCTCAAGAGACCGACCCGTCTGACTCACAAAGTTCAGTACAACAAATCATTCAGGAGCTGATGATGTCTTCTTCACCGTTGAATGGTGGAAGTACTAACAATGCTGCTCTGAATGGATTTGCCTCTGGTATGAATGGAGGAGGTATGGCTAACAATTCAATGGGCTACAGGACCATAGGAGGGATTGTGCCATCAGCTACTGTTAGTGGGCTGAGAGCTGCCATGGTGAACGGCGCAATGGGCATGAATGGGGTTCGGGCTGGAATGAATCACATTTCACATAATGCAATTGGCATGAACCATCAGCAACAACAGCAGCAGGATATGGGGAACCGTCTACTGGGCGGGCTTGGATCGAATAATAATTTCAATAATCTTCACTTTGATTGGAAGCCGTCGCCATGACCAGTGAATTTCTTCACCGGATTACTTCTCTAGCAGCAGCACACGCTATAAGACTGGAGAAAAATTCCAGGCTGCGACGTAGTTGACACATGGAAGAGCTTTTCTCATGTATTGAAGGCTGCTGCTCTGTGACTAATGATTTCTACAGCGAAATAGATAGACCCCGAAGAAAGAGCTTTCGAGGGAGAAATACAGTTAAATCTACAACTACAAGAGGGCATCTGAGCCCTGCCCAAGGGTTGTTGGTTCATTATACACCAAAAGGAGAGATACAAATTACTTCAGAGGGAACACTCTGATTCTGGTAACTACATCCTTGACTAAGGTTTTTTACTTTTTCTTTTTTTTTAACCATGTTTATTTTTGTATGTGAATTTTCATGGTCTACTTGAGTCCTGTGATTGTGAATGTGGTGGTGGTGTTATTTGGCAGTCATGGTGTCTGTTTTTTTGTGCTTATGTTAATCTCAGGTTGAGAGTCATTGAGGCCGGTGCAATTTTGATCGATGTTATTTTGCTTAAAGGGTTCCAAGTATTTCTTTCAGAATTTGTTCGATGACATGGGAGCGGTTTCTCATATCGATAAGGAACTTGAATAGATTAACGATAAATGGGAGGAAATGTGACAGTTGTTTATGCTATCCAGGAGTGAGTTGTGACGGTACAATTTACATTATGACAATAGTTTAAGATTCTATTTGTATTCAGCTATGAATAGAGCTTGAGATCTAAATCACGTTTGACAAGGTGAAACCGTCATAAGAAAATGGATGAAATGTAGCTTGATGAAATCTTAACATATTGTAATTCAGCACATAAATAAATCTATAGTTAAGTACAACACCATAAAAGGCGCCGTAAGTCTCTTCTTTTATTTGAAGGGATTAGGGGGGAGAGAGAGGGAGGGAGATTGCCATCAAAAGCGCTTTGGTTTGGTTAGGGGTGTGCAACGGTCGGTTCGATTCAGTTTTTTCTAAAATTTGAACAACTGAACCGTACCCTCTATAATTCAAAACTGAACCGAATTGTTACTAGTCGGTTCGGTACGGTTCGGTTTGTTCGGTTTTAACTTCATCAAACTTCTTATCAAACAACAAATTGTGTTAAAGAAAAAAAAAGTATCAACAAAGTAGGAGATTATGAAGTATTACACACTGATATAATGATATTGTTTTCAACCCATAATGATTCAGAAAATTAGTTTAGGGTTTTGAGTTTTTTACTCTTTGAGGACATGTTGGGTAGAGTTTGAGGTCAAAATGGGTAGTATTGTACTATATTCGGTCGGGTCGGTTCGGGTTGAAAAGTTTTCAAACCGACCTGAACCGTCCTACTCATAAAACCGATTTTTTCGGGTCGGTTCGGATCAGTTTGGTCGGTTTTTTCGGTTTGGACCGAATCATGCTCAGCCCTAGGTCTGGTTTGTAGGCGGATCTCGATATTCCTTTCCATTTTTACAAGGAAGTCCTAAAAAAAGGGTTTATGCATGATAACTACCTTCAAAATAGGTCGATTTGGTGACAACAACATTTGAAGGCTAAACTAACATTTGAAGTTTTTTTTCATAGGTAAATCGCCTTATAAGTAGCTTTAGTTTTGAGTCAACCATTTTTTGCTAAATTAATGTAAAAAATATTCAAACTATCCTCACTAATTGCATGTGTCTAACGTGTGTTTCCCAACTGATTATGTATTTGATGAGAATAGTTTAGCTATTAATTGAGTAGAGTTTGACACGAAGTAGTTAGATTGAAAACTAAACTCATTTATAGGAGGATTTACTAGAATAAAATTAAAAAAACTTGGAAAACAAAAGAGGGGGAAAAACACGAAGTTCTAGACTATATTTGGTGCAAATTATCACATGCTTTTACCGGGGATACTGGGTCTATATACCATCTAATATTTTTGTCTTAAATAAATAGTTGATATGGACGTGAGAAATAGAAATATAGACAACAAATAAACACGTAATAATGTTTAACGCGGTTTGGCATTTGAGCTTTCATCCATGAGCTCACTCCTTTATAGCTCCGTCACCATCCTAGAAAGTAGAAAACTATACAATGAAGGGAAATAAAAATTATAAGATCAAAGAAAACAACTGCTAGTCATTTTGAATAGCAACAAGTAACTTAATAAATAAGTAGGTATTAAGAAAGAGGTATGATTGCTAGGATTTGAACATCAACTGAAAAGGCTGAAAAGTAAATCCTTGTAGTTTAACAAAGGTTTTGAAGTACAAAAATTAATTTCTGATTAATGTCAAACCATTTATGTAAGAGGACTTATAAGCAATATATACATTGGGCCATAAACTTTCATGGCCCATTAGCACATCCCCAAGCTACCCTATTCCACGAAAGGTAAGATGGAGAAAAGGGTTTTCCCAATATTTCATAACATTGGGGTTTTCTCATTGGAACCATCTTTATTTAAAATATGATGATTTAGAAAAAAATTACTTTTCACTTTTAATTTATACATAAATTACTTTTAAAGTGCTTTTTTTTTACAATCAACCACCTGAGCTTGCTCTTAGGTCATTTTTTTTTCTAGTTTTACTATAATAAATTAGTTGTCAAATATCAAATATGGTCCTTAATTGAGGTTAAATATAGTCCATTATCTAAAAAAAACTTAACTAAAAGTGAGCCCAGGTGGTTAATTATAACAAATTTATGTATAATTAAAAATAAAATATGGTTTCTATAGAATTACTCCATTTTAAAGGTGGTCTCTTTGGAAAAACCCTTCACATTATCATATAGTCCACCACATCTTCATATTTTGAAATGAGTCGCACAAATCTTTTAAGTATTTTGAAATTAAGTCCCGGTATCTATTAAACAATTTGTTAGTTCCCCAAAACATAGTGCTACGTAGGGCTGTCCATCCGGGCCGGCCCGGCCCGGGAAACCGGGCCCAGGCCGGGCAAAACCCAAGCCCGGACCCGGGCCCGGGCCCGGGCCTGAGCGGGCTGGACACCGGGCGGCCCGGTTTGTTTTTTTTTATAATTTTTTTTATTTTTTTTATTTTTTTAAAATTTTAACAAAACCATAAATCATAAATTATTATAAAAAATGTCATAAATTTAATTAATAACTTGAAATAAAATGACATAAATTACAAGTACAAAAAATGATAAAAATAACTTTTTTATTAATAATCGGTAAATCCTTTACAAGTATAAATTTATTTCGAAATTCGTCGCATCACAATAGATGAGTACATCCCAACTAGGTTGGCACCTACTCACCCATATCACTATCATTTGCAACTTTTTTCGAAATAATTTAATTCAAATTTAAAGCTAAGAAATAAAAATTACAATTTTATGAATATTATCTAATCATTATATCTATCTGCTAGTCCCAACTCTTCAAATTTATCTTCAATCATAGCAATCCGTTCGATGCCTTGTGTTCGCTTCTCGTATCTCCACCAATCCTGTAAGCACATCACCGCTTGTACAGTATACGGATCTAAGCATGTCCTGTGGTCGTCGATCAAACGTCCTGCTGTGCTGAAAGCGGATTCCGAGGCTACAGTCGAAACCTGCACTGATAGTAAGTCACGAACCATGGTGGAAAGTATAGGATATGAAACTGATCCATATACTTTCCACCATTGCAAAATATCTAAAGCATTTCCTTGACATCTAACTAAAGAAGCAGAAAAATATTCATCTATTTCAGAAACATCTAATCCTGATGAAGTTCCAGATCCACCAGTTAGTTCAGCTACCATTGCATACCTATCAAAACTTACACTTTTACCTCGACCTGTGCTCGAAGCTGAAGGTGCCGAAGCTGAAGACTGTTGTGTAGCTACACCATATCTAGCTGCATACTCATCATATAAGGTTTGAAAATAATTTCTAATAGCTAAATAATGAGTAGTAGCAGTAAGGGTGGATCCATCATCTAAGTCTATAATCTGTCCACCATACAATGATTGTAACAAACTTCGAAGGCCAATTTCCTTCAAGCATGGATCAATAAGAACACCAATACCAAAAATATGAGGAATAGGCCTAAAATACTTATTAAATTTACTCTCCATTTCAAAAATTATACTTCCAAAAATATCATCCATACGATATTTTGTAAAATTTTTTTGAATATTTAAAATTTGTAAAGCAGCTAAAGTAATAGTTGGATAATAACAACCAGATAATAACATAGTAGCATCATAAAAAACTTGTAACATCTCATTTAATTTACATATAACTGTCCATTCATCTTCAGTTATTCCATAAGCACTACCAGAGCTAGAACTAGAAGCATAAAAATTTATAAAATCATTTATAATTTCTTTATATTCTATTGCTACAGATAACATTGCATAGGTGGAATTCCACCTATGGTCAACATCTTTTGGAATTAGTCTAGGCTTATAATTTTTTCTTTTACAACATTGTTTCCATCTTTTAATTCTCATTTCAGAAGCATTATGCATATTAGCAACTGTTCTAACTTTTTCTATCATGGGTTTAATTTCAGAAAATGCACTTTGAACAATTAAATTTAAAATATGACAGATACATCTAACATGAAAAAGCTCACCATGACATGGCAATGACAAATTTCTTTTCAGAAAATCAACAGCTACATTATTATTACTTGCATTATCTAGTGAAAGAGTAAATATTCTTTGATCAATTTCTAGTTTCATAAGTTCTTCAACAATTAAATTTGCAACATTAATACCAGTGTGTGACTCTTCAATTGCAATAAAAGAAACAACTCTTTTAAACATTTTCCAACTTTCATCAATCCAGTGTGCTGTTATACATAAATAACCAGTTTGCACTCTAGATGACCAAATATCAGAAGTTAAAGAAAATTTGCAGTTTAAATTTTTAAAATAAGAAATTATTTTTCCCTGTTCCTCAACATAATATTTTAAAATATCACGTTGACAGGTTTGACGAGAAAATTTTGTAAATGCAGGATAAAAACCATCTCTAAACAAATCTTCAAATTCATCATCTTCTACTAATTTAAAAGGAAGGTTTTTAAGAACAATAAACCTGATTACGCATTTCCGGGCTCGGGCAGCGTCATAATTCCAATTGCCGAGGGTACCTGAAGAGGATGATTGGGAAAGCATAGATTGCCGGATATCACCTTGTAGATTTTGGCCTTTGTTGTGTTTTTCAATATGCCGTTTGAGATGGTTGATGCCGCTCTTATGATGAGCTTTGAATATCTGGCCGCACAACGCACATTTCGCATTCTGAGAGATGATCCTACCGTGTTCATCCTTGGTGACGTCTATCTTTCAAAAAAATTCCATACATCAGACCTCGGCCTTTTTGGAGCTCTTGGTGCCGTAGATTCGTCGCCACCAGATTCAGGATTAACACCGGTAGGATGAGGAGTTGTTGTAGGAGGACTCATCTCTGGATCGATAGGAGATGCATGTAGCTCTTCATAATCAGACCCAGAAGCCATTTGTTGGAAGTATTAGAAAATACAAAAGATTATAGGATAGTATATTAGTATGAGATAGTATAAGATTATATAAGAGAGTAGTAGAGAGAGAAATAGATGAGTTTTGTTGTGAGAAAATGAATTGAAACCCCCCTCTATTTATAGAAGCAGCCCCCTAGGTAAATGACCAAAAAACCCTCGAAAAATAGCCGTTTTTTCGGGTTTTGCCTGGGTTTCCGGGCCCGGCCCGGGCCCGGGCACGACCGGGCCTGGCCCGGGCCGGACACCGGCCCGGGCCCGGGCTCCGGGCTTTTTGGACACCCCTAGTGCTATGTGAACTAATTATAAAACACTTAGAAGATTTGAGAGACTGCTTTTAAAATATAAAGATTGACAAATGCATTAGGAACCCAAAAACATGGGACCCTATATGAGACATGTGAGGTGTCAGCTCTCTATCCCATGATGCACTGTTCATAAACAGTGCATCATGGGATATGGAACCGACACCTCACCTGTCCTATGTAGGGTCCCATGTTTTTGGGTCCATGTAGTACCCACCCATAAAGGTTTGGGTTATCAAAATATGAAAGATTTGGGGATTGATATCGAGAAAACCCATACGCCGTGTCTGCTTTTTATCTTGGGATTAGGGTTACTATAATCTCTGGAATATAATCTTGGGACTATATTAACCTTGAACTACTTTAGTCTCAACTAGTGTTTGTTTTCCACAGACAGCTACTTGGACCAACTTAAAATAATGTGGACCACTGTTTATAAAGGAATTATAAATGTTTGGACTAAGGTCATAGGCATTGTTACCGTTTTACCCTCCAATCAGCCAATACGATATTAATGCATACCTTTGGTCAAAATTCAAAACTTTGAGCATGACCTTGGTTTGGAAAACTTACGAAGACGCCCACATTAGTAGGGAGCTGACTATGAGCTAAATAAGTCTATGTTTCAAAACCATATTAATAAAAAAATAACACGATCAATGCCAATTAACATGGACTGACTATAGAATAAAGAGGGTAATAATCCACGATAGCAATTTAGAAATAATTTGTATGTAGCTTTGTCGTCATCGATGGACGCAGTATAGGGAATGGTTAACTTAAGTGCGGTGGTCATTTAGCTTCTCTTGCTCGAAACCAGAATAGAGATGTTAAATGAGTGGGTATGGGTTTTAAATGGGCGGGCCATAAATGGGTGGGCATATTTTACCCATTTACTCATTTATGACCTATTTAACATTATTTAAATGAGCGGGTTTTTGCCCGCCCATTTAATAAACGGGTCGCCCATTTGCCCATTTAACTATAGTAACTATATATGCATAATACTTTTGGGGTGTTTTTTATAAACTTTTAGGGGTTTTTTTTATAAACTATTGTGGGCAAACTTTTTGGGAGCTTTTTGCAAACTTGTTGGGGCTTTTGATAAAATACTAACAAAGATAGTAACATAAACAAAGATAAACAAATGCAGACAAATTCATGATTGAACCATTTACAAGCCTGGATAAAAGTACAGACCTCACATTTGCAAAATTAACCTCAAATTTTGAAACCAAAAACCAAAAGATCAATAACAACAAAATTGCGAGTATATTTAAATGAATTAAGATAGAAAACCTCAAATAATCACAACGCAAGGAAACGGTTAGCTGCAGTTGCAAGCAATCAACAAAATCAACCAAAATAACTGCAACATCATTGTGTTGGAGAGACGCTCTGAACAAATATTTTCGCGCAAAAAATGTCTCAAACAAACATATCACCACACAGAAGTCCAGGCACATATATAGAAGATGCATGATATGTTTTATTTGAGAGAAAGAGGTACCAAATCAGCAACCTATCTACCATAAAATCATATAAATGATGCCAAAAAAATTACCAATATTATACAGTGGGGGATGCTTTAAGACATACCCAGTAGAATGAAAAACTAAGATTTCTTTAGCATAGAAGATTTGCGATTATACAACAAATGGAGGCCTAACTGCCACTTATTGCATAAATAACTATTCCATCACAATGAATAGCCTTTCATTTCGAGGAAGAAACTTTGCTTTTGAGGATTTTCCTCCACAACTGATACTAACTGATGATACTGATACTATTATGTGCATCCTCTTTATTTTTCTACTGTTCACCAGGTAGCATGGTGTCCTCACGAATATCGCAATATGCAACACCCTACATTTGGAAAGAGAAGATGTAATATATGATCTCGAAAAATGATATAATATACAATTCTCAACAATAATTAGGTTCTCATATAATAATGTGTGCTGCTTACCTCCCTAGTTAAGTGAGCTACACATCTTTTCTCCGAGAGCAGTTCAGCTTCAGACTGCATAGAAAACCAAATGCATAACATTTTGACAGTCTTATAACAAAATTTACAAGTAAAAACAACAACAAAATATTCCATTAATAATCACCTTTTTGATACGTTGTCGAAGGCAGTCATCAATTATTACATCCTTGACTAGCTCATAGTCACCATCCCCCTAAAAAAAATGACCCAACGCTCCTTATGAAACGATTCATAAATAATAATTTGAGATAAGTCCAAGAATCTGAAAATTAATAGACCTTCGATCTACAAGGCATGCTAAAAACAATATCCTCCTCGATGCCATAAGGATTCCCATTGGTATAAACCTGTGAGTGCACAGACATCTTAATTGAGTACTTTGAGAGTGCAAATAAAAGCTAGGCACAGTATAGTTACATATATTAACTTCTAATGCCTAAAGCCCACTCAACAGCGAAAACTTTTGTACATTAAAACTTACCTCTGAAGAAAACCAATCACCTTCAGGAGTTGGAGTGATAAGGGACCTTATCGCATCAACAATAGAAACTGCAATTAAGGAAATCAGGAACCTGCCATAAAGTAATACAACTAATTTCAGAAAATCTTCGACTCTCAACTATATCAACCTTTCAATGATTACGCGTAAACAGTAAAACTACAGGGGATCACGGGGATCACGAGCACATCAGGAGCTCCATTGTTTTTTGCAGCCTTGGCCATAGCCTTGAGCTCAGCCTCTCTCCTTGCTGCAAGCACTAGGTATGCTCCTCTCTTTGCTTACCGATAAGCTAATTGATGTTATAAGAAAGAGAGGAAAGGAGTGATGAGTTTGACTCTGATAATAAGATTGTTATAAGAAAGAGAGGAAAGGAGTGATGAGTTTGACTCTGATAATAAGATTTTAGAGGAAGGAGTATATGTAAACTGTTAACTGTAAAAGATTTTAGAGGAAGGAGTATATGTAAACTGTTAACTGTAAGATAACATTGCTCAAGCATATGTACTACAGGTTATTGACAAATATAGGAAGTAAATAAAGAACCATATCTCCATTCCCATCCTGCAGTAGAATGCCCCAAAAGAAAAAATGGCAAAAACATAAGCTTTGTGCCGATAAGATAAGCCTCACACAAATAGCCTAGTTTAGCAAATTAGAGTTTCCTTGACAGGCTTTTAGCAAACTATAACTGATACAATTCAAACAGCATATAAAAGCAATTGTGCAACTTAAAACTGTACACTTGTGTGTATTGAACATAACATCTATTGAATATGTATGTCCATCATCTACCAAGCTATTGAAAAAGCTCAGAAGACTATATACAACGAATTTTCATCTCTCACTTTTACTAAAGTCGTGAAAATAAGCAACTATCCATGAAAGAGTGCATGATATGGTTCATAAAATAATTTAGAACAATGAATAACAAAAATTGAAATGCAAAAAATATTGAGTTTTGATAAATAAAAAAGGCTAAGGAGCATTTCATCAAACACTTAGCAATCAAAACCTATTTGAAGATCACATGGGCGGATTTTACCTTAGTGCAATTTCAAGTGTTGGTGAACTCGGTAATGTCCTTGGCTTCCTCTCTTAGATCAAAATCGACCTCTGATTTTTTCAAAAAAGGTAAAAACCAATGAAAGGTAGAGAGAGAGAGAGAGAGAGAGAGAGAGAGAGAGAGAGAAAGAGAGAGAGAGAGAGTAAAAGGCTCATCTTAGGTTTTCAAACCACGAGCTACGATGAGGATACAGAGACCAATTCCGAACTTGAAAAAAAAAATCCCCAAATACGCCAAGAACCGATTTTTAAATGCTAGTGTTTATCTCCAATGATGATTTCTACGAGGGCCTCGCCCAAATTGATGCTGGCAATCCAATTGGAGCCTCTCTCTCTCTCTCAATTCGTAGAGCTTGTTGTTAAATTAGGGTTCGGGAGATTGAAGAAATTCACAGAAATTCCAACAAAAACCTAGGCCTCTAATCGATTCAACAGGATTCAAATCTCCCAAACTTACAGATAGGTTCAATTTCCGCGAAGAAATCGAAACATACAGGATAAATCATCATGATGCTCAAGAATCGAGATCGTTACCGGATCAATCTGGATGTTTCCATGGACGTTATCGTAAACCTGGTTCAAAAACCTCCGATCGATCTCGCAGCCGCCTCCTCCTCCAGAGGATCCGTACGTCACCGTCGCCGCCGCCGCCGGTTTCTACTCCTGCGAGAACGAGATATTGCCGTCGCCATTGAAGCACTCTCCCATTTTTTTTCCTCTTTCTAGTTTCTCTCTGTTTGAATTCAAGAACGGGATTGGGCTTTGCTTTTGGGAATCAGGCGGGCAAATGGCTGGATATAGACTGCCCATTTACTACCCATTTAGTATAGCTTGAAATGAACCCGCCCGATTAGACCCATTTAATTAAATGGGTGGGTTTTGGACGGGCGAACTGATGGGTGAGCTGGGTGGGTAAATGGGTATGGACAAAAATTACCTTCCCTAAACTAGAGGCATTTCTTTTGCGGGAAAATAAAGCGGTCAAAAAAATATCTACGAAAAAAACTATGAAAAAAATAAAATAAAATGCAGCAATATAAAACTTGCGGAAAAGACCGCGTAAAAAAAAGACGAAGTGTAATTGAAACTCACGGAAATCATACTCCCTTTAAATTAAAAGGGCGAGTTCGAAAAATACTTTTTATGGTTAATATTATTTTTTACTATTTTAAATATTTTATTTAAGTCTTAACTTATCTTAATTATAATTATATCCTATCATATTCCTACGTGAACTAACTATAGCTCAACAGTTTAAAAAAATAATAAAATATAAGAAACAACTCTACGGCATTTGAGCCAACATACTATAATACATGAATATATTGCAAAAAAGCCAATTTTTTTAAAAAAATTACATAAAATAATCTTGAAATTTTAAAATTACACAAAACTTCTTGACATTTTAAAACTTGAAATAACAAACATAAAATTAGAAAAAAAATTAGGGAAAAATGTGTCGGGGCCCCAAAAGCTGAAAAACCATGTGACGAGGGCCCTTGTATTTTCCCCTTTGTGTATAAGCCCCAAAAAGCAGCCTCTAATATTTCTAAGGCCCTCCACGTCAGCTGTATACAGCCAGAGGCATTGTATTTTGTAAAAACCCGACTTTGCCCTTCTCCTTCGTCCCCAGACGCTTCGTCACATCTCATTAAATGGACTGGACTCGATTACGGTGCCTCTTTTACCCCGCCTCTATTTTTACTTTCTTCCAAAATACAAAAGAGCCACCGAAACTCTCGAACTTCCATTTCCAGCGACGGAGTTTATTTTCGCTGTCTAGGTTTTTCGCCAGAAAATGTCGTCCAGGGAAGCAGAATCGGTAAATGACTACGAAACCTCTCATCGCGGCGATTTGAAGGAAAAAGACGGTTCGTCTGGGGTTGGCAGCACAGAGGAAGCCACTCAAACCCTCATAGTAATGCAAAAGCATGCCCTAGAATGGCGAAACCGCCAAAGAAGAACGGCAAGGGCTGGCCGTGCCATCGTACCCCCCCAGAAAAACAGTAAGTGCTAGGTTATCCACTATTTGGGGTTTCGAAGTTATCCACTATTTGGGGTTTCGAAGTAATGTGCCCTAATGTTAGTGCTAGGCAATGTTAGTTCTAGTTTGAATCCATGTTAGTTCTATAACAGTCGGCGTTAGTTCTATTAGATGCCTAACCAAAATGTTAGTGCTAGCAATGTTAGTTCTAGTTTGAGTCCATGTTAGTTCTATAACAGTCGGCGTTAGTTCTATTAGATGCCGTGCCCTAATGTTAGTGCTAGGCAATGTTAGTTCTAGTTTGAGTCCATGTTAGTTCTATAAAAGTCGGCGTTAGTTCTATTAGATGCCGTTTAGTGTTAGGTCTAATTCAGTTCACGTTAGTTCTAATTGAACTTAAAATTTTTATTTTTACAGGAAAAGGCTTGCTGAAATTAACCCGTTTGAATCATTAAGGCTAACCGTCAATATCACGGGTTATTGGCAATTCATGAAGTGTATTGCTCCGAAGATGCGTCAGTGTCACAGGGATGCATATCGCGGATCGATATTTCAGCACTACATTTTATTCGGGGCTCTTGCACCTGATCGCCCCACGCTTGAACTGCTGCTGAGTTATTATGATAGGGCCAATGCCACATTTTGTATCCCTGATTCAAAGACTGGGGGCTTGAAAAGTGTTAAATTTGATTTGCAATGGGTCCATAACCATACATACTTCCGGGCAGCTGGAAAGGCTCGTGGAGTCTACAGAAGAAGAGAATATCCAAGATTTTGTTCTGCTCTAAATTCTGTACCAATGCTCTATGATATGGTGCCCCAGAAGCGAGGAGGGTATCCCTAGACCTCTACTCAGATATCTGGATAGCATTGAGAGGGTCAATAAGGTAGCTTGGGCTCAATTCTTTTATACAGAAATTAACAGGGGGATTAAAGCTGCTGTGGAGTGCAAGAAGAAGCCAGGGGTCACATATGTCCCAGGTTGCATGACACTTTTGTGTGTAAGTGCCATGTTTTACTCAATTTGGTTCATTCTAGCTCTGATTCATGCCATGTGAGTTCTAACTTATGTCACGTTAGTTCTGACTTCTGCTATGTTAGTTCTACTTTTTACCACGTTAGTTCTAGTTTCTGCTCATGTTAGTTCTAGCCGTATTCATGTTAGTCCTTATTTGGGTCATGCTGCTAAGCCTTAAATGGCATCATGTTAGTTCAGAATTGGGTCACGTTAGTTCTAATAAAGTTCGGTTAGTTCTATTGCATCTCACCTTAGTTATAATAGGAGGCATGCTAGTTCTAGGTTCTAGTTGGGGTCACAATAGTTCTAACGGAGTATCTGTTTGTTAGCTCTAATTTATGCCTTGTTAGTTCTGATTTGAATGCTTAATGTATTTGCTTTAGCTTTGGTACTATGAGATGACGGGGTTAAAGAAATATGCCTACGTCGACAAGTCCAGACCTCCAATGATAAACTGGGCATCAGAAAAGGAGGTGAAAGTCTCATATTTGAGGGCGAGGACCGTTGCATTGAAGGCTAAATCAGCTTCAATAACTGAAGTTGATCGGCCTGTTGTGGAAGTTGGGCCTGCTCCTTCAAAGCTTATTTCACTTCCCGCCATTCAGGGGAGTGAAGGAGTGCCTCATGTGTCTAAGTTAAAGAGGAAGGCGAAGGTGGAGGAAACGAAGAACTTCTCAATAGGCTATGTAAGTATCCTGTTAAGTCTAAGTTGTCTAAAGCTAAATGTAAACAATATCCATGTATGTATAATCCTATTTTATTATAATATAATCTCTTAATAATTTCAGATCATGTCAAAACATATTGACAATGCTTTTGAAGATGAAGAGGAGGTGAAGGATCTACCCATTGAGCAGCAACTTACCTTTTGGAGAAATTCTGCTAAATTCCTCCAACGACTACTCTTTGCCACAAAGCAGAGCAAGAGTACATATTGTAAAGAATTTATGATTGAGATCAACAGGCTAAACAGAATAATTGAAGAACTTGGAAGACCTGATGACGTTATAGACCCGACAGTGCTGAAGGCAAATATCAAACAAAAAATTATAAAAAAATGAAGCTGAATCCACGGCCTGATGAGGAGGAACTGCCTTCCAAATATAGTAGATTACATAAGGAAGACCCTATCATGCAAGAAGCTGAACATAAGATGGCTGAGGATGATGCCGAGGAGCCTGTTGATGATGTTGCTGTTCATGGATGTGAAGTTGATTTGGAGGGCACCACAATGGAAGGCAAAGTTGTGGAGCCTGTTGGTTCAAAGGAAGAAGGAGCTGATGTTGGGAATATAGCTGAGGGGAAAGCTATAATAGAAGGGGAAGACGGGGAGGATGTCGCCCCCCAGAAGAATGATGAAGCGGAACCCCCCGAGAATAAAGCTGTGGAGAATTCAGATAGAGAGGAGGTTTTGTAGATAACAAGGTTGAGGATAATGTAGATAAGGAGGAGGAAAATGTAGATAGGGAAGTGGATAATGTAGATAAGGAGGTGGAAAATGTAGATAGGAAATTAGAGAAGGAAGAGGAGCTTGTTGGTGGAGAAGGGGGGAATGCAGATAGCAGGGTTGAGGAGAATGTACAGAAAGAGGCGGAGATTGTGTATAGGGAAGAGGAGCATGTTGGAAGAGAAAGTGAGAATGTAGATAGTTCTGCCGAGGCTGTTGCTAATATTTCACATCAGGTGGACAAAATCTTTGAAGCTCTGTCAAGGGATGTGCAAACAGAAGAGATTGTAGCAGCCCCACGGAGGAAGGTTCGAAGGGCAAGCAAGCGGTCTAAATGGTGTAAGACTCCATACACAGAGGGAAAGGGAAAGAAAAAGCAAAAAGTTATAGATATACTTGCAAGTCCTGATGGTGTACACGAAGCGGACAAAGTTACCAATTTTTATAACGGCAAACAACATCCCACTTGGGATGAGTTGAGTTTGAAGGCAATGACGGCTGAGGAAGAAGTTCTATTGGGCGAGTTAAATAGAGATATTCCAGACATTGCATTGTTTAACATACGTATAATAGATAGCAGGGGTACCTTTGTACATAATTTTAGGATACCATCTGAAGTATCTGCTAGATTCTCCGAAGCTAAAAATAATTGCCTAACCAAGTTTTGCTCCCAAAAGGATCACAAGTAAGGTTCAATTGACTATTTATATGCTAATTCCTTACATGTTAGTCCTAATCCATGTTAGTTCTTATTTTCAGGAGATATGATGTTATTAAAACAACCAATAGCACTATGAACAGAGAAGAGTTGTTGTATTTGCTTCGTGGTGGCCGGCTTGATGACAAGGTTAGATTATATACGCTTAATAATGTATAAAGTCTTGTTCATATATTGATTTTTAATGTTTCATTGATGTTACAGATGGAAGAAGCATTGTTGGACACGATCCAGCAAGAGTCATATGACAAAAAATTTGGCGCCGTCTCGGTGTTCTTTCTTGTAAGTACTAAATTATCTTGGTAGTTTTGGCGAAAATGGATGTTAGTTTTAGTTCTAGCCATGTAAGTTCTGCATGAGC